GGAAGCAGGGGCAGATAGGGTGCCTCTTATGGTTCTTTCTCCACAGACCTTCGCACAGCCAAGGAAGTCCAGACGATCGAGGTCTACAAGCACGAGGTAAGGGCTCACCCACACCCTGTCCTCCCTACTCCCTGGACATCACGCGCAACTTCACCTCCTTTCTTCCTCTCATGTTTCCCAGGAGTGCTCAAGGCCCCAAAATGGGCGCTGGATTGGATGCTTGGCAACTGACTCAGACTGGATGGTGAGCCAGGCAAAGTACAGGATGGGGTGGCAGCTCTGGGCCCTACCAGCTGAGAGCCTGTAGCTCATGGTGGCTGGGACTCCCACCTTTCTGCCCAGGTCTGTGGAGGGGGCCCAGCACTCACCCTCTGGCACCTCCGATCCTCCACACCCACCACCATCTTCCCCATGCGGGCACCACAGAAGCATGTCACCTTCTACCAGGACCTGGTGAGGCTCTCTGTCTTGATTTTGCCACCCTTTCCCATCTCCTCTCTCCAACCCTAATCCCCATGTTTCCTCCCTGCTCTCTAGATTCTGTCAGCCGGCCAGGGCCCTTGTGTCAACCAGTGGCAGCTGAGTGGAGAGCTTAAGGCCCAGGTACCTGGCTCCTCCCCAGGACTGCTCAGCCTCAGCCTCAACCAGCAGCCAGCAGCACCAGAGTGCAAGGTGGGTCCTGCAAGGAGCTGTGGGGATACTGAGAGGCTAGGGTGTGTGGGTAGGTCAGTCAGCCTCCTCTTGCCTCCAGGTGTTGACAGCTGCAGGCAACAGCTGCCGGGTGGATGTCTTCACCAATCTTGGCTACCGAGCCTTCTCCCTTTCCTTCTGACCTCCAGCAACACCCCACCTCCCCATCCCAGGGTCTGGACTGTTTTGTTTCTTTTTACGAATAAAATTTCAAGCTTTCTTTCCATGCACTTTCTTCCTAAGAATGGAGACCAAGTCGGTATAATGATTTATGTATGTATTACTCTTAATAAATACTCACACACTCTGGGGCATGTCAGGGCCAGGGGGCCTAGAAAGGATAAGACCTATATAGATTCAAAAAATAGATTGTTCTGCCTCACCTTGCCCCGCCACCCACCTGGGGCCCCTAGTCCCCAAAGCTGGCCCCTGCCCAACCTCCCTTGGAAGACAATGGGGGCCCTGTTGCTCCATTGGCCAGAAGAGGAAAGTGAGCCCGAGAGGTCAAGGACAGGCCCCTTGGCCAGGCTCTCAGGTCCTTCGGAAGAGATTGCTGAAGAAGCCGCCGGCGGGCCCAGGACCCCGGCGCAGCGAGAAGCGGGGAGCAGGGCGCCGCGGAGCTGATCCTGCTGCGCTCAGCTCTTTCTGGCGTTGGGAGCGCAGCTGCTGCCCAATCACCACTTGCATGTCGTCCTGCAGGCAGGTCAACCGGGCGGGAAGGGCGGGTCAGCACACCAGCCCCGCCTCCTGTAGACCCCGCCCCTCCGGCCCCTACCCCTCACCTGCCAGGCCTCCAGCTCTTGTGTCAGCGCCACCTTCTGGCGGATGGTGCGAAGCAGCTCCCGGGAAAGAGAGTCCCGCTCCAGAGAGACGCGGCTGAGCTCCAGGGACAGTTCCAGGGCCCTGAAAGCGAAAGGGGCAGAGAGAGGGTAGGAGGGCATTGGGGCCTCAGCGAGCAGGGGGTTCGGGGGCTCCTGGACCCCAGCTTGAGTGGGACTAGTAACACCGAAACCAAGGAGGTTAGAAAGCCCTTGGGTTGGAGTAGGAATAATTATAATCCAAATCATGAGTGAGGCCTAGAAAGACCAGAGTTCTCTGGGGGCCCGCAGCCCCACTGGGGAGGTAGTAAATGGTGGCAGAGGCAGGCTCACTCACTTATTCACTGCCTCCTCCCTATCAGAGAGGGCGCTGCTTAGGGCCTCCTCGAGGTCCTCCTGCTCTCGCAGCTCCTTCTGCCTTTGCATCTCCTCCCGCAGGGACTGTAGCTCTGCCCGCTGCAGCTCGACCTGCAGGTAAGAGAGGTGGCAGAGATGCAGGTAGGCTTCTGGGTCTCCAAGCTCTTGCTCTTCCCAGCAGCCCGGGCTCCAGCCCTCCCTTGCCCACTCCACAAACATCCCAGGCAGCTGTGGCCTTGTGCTAGAGATGAATTGTATGAGCCCCCATGTTGGTGAGGGGCTAATTGGGTGGTATAAGTTTGTATGGAGAAGCATTAGGAGGTGGGACTAAGGGGGGGATGCAGTCCAGGAAGCCTTCCTGAGGAAGGTGGCTCTTGAAGCATGACTAAGTTTGTTGGGGTGAAAGGTGATCCAGGTAGAGGGAGATTAGTGGACAAAGGCTCAGAATTGTAGATGGAATAAAGAAATTAGGGCTCTGTACCCAGCGCAATCCCCCCCTGCCCCCCACATACACACACCTCATCCTGCAGCTGGGCCATTTCCGCCTCCTTCTCCTCCAGTATTTCCCCTGGGCTCAGGGATGCTCGCTTCTTGGGAGGCTCCAAGCTCTCCTCCTGGGGCAAAGGCTGGTGATTGGACATCTCTTGGGTCTCCGGGGACATAGCGGTCTGTTCACCAAAGGAATTGGTTAGCGAGGTGTTGAACTTCCTCAGAAAGAAGGGTGTAGTCTGCAGCCCTCCTGGATAGCTCACGTTGGGACTGGTGGGCCGTGAGCTCACCACGGAATTTCTGCGTCCATCTGCGTTTTGGTGCTGATCACCGTCAAAGCTATCGGCAAGTTCTGACTGCAGTGAGGTTCCCGACATGTCAGCGTCCTGGAGGCGCGAATTCTCTTCCAGCTCCGAGACGCGCCTCTGCAACCTCCGCAGCGTGCTCAGCGCCTCCCCGGCCTCGGAGCGCGCACGTTCCAGCTGTGCACCCATGGTCAGAAAGACAAGTGTAGGTAGACACATAAGCTTGAGCGGTCAGCCAGGTACTCCGGCTGCAGGCATTCCGCGGCCCGCCTCCAGGGGGCGCCGGCGCGCCGTGGAGAGCCAGGCGGTTCTGGGCATCGGCGCACCCCAGCAGCCAGAACCTGTTCTCCCTTCTGTATCGCTGGGCGGCCTTGGGACGCGCAGTTCTTGGCCAGTACCAATTTCCTTGCTCATAAAGCAGGGCGCGCGCGGGCACCCGGCTTTAAAGACTCCCATCACCTTTCCTTCAGTCTCACCCCACCTGGGAATCTCGAAGAAAGCCCCGCCCCATTCCCAACCTGTCAGCCTTTTTCACTAATTGCTAACATCTAGCATTGATTGAGCCTTCTAAGCCCGCGCTGTGCTCAGTGCCTCACACGCTCACCAGAGGTCTCATTACCATCCCATCTCACAGATGGGAAAACTGAGTCTGGGGTCTCACAATATAAGAAGGGATACTGGGATAGGAACCCAGAAAATTTAACCCCGAAGCGCAAACTCCTGAGATCCCAAATATCAGGCCATTCTGCCTCTTCATACCCTTTTTTCCATCTCCGCTGCCCCAGACCTGGTCCAGGTCCTCATCATTTCTGGCTTGAGCTCTACCCTCAGCCCCCTCTTTGACCGCCTAGCTGCCTGGCTCTGTTGCATTCTAAGAGTATACCACCCCTGCTTAATAGCCTTCCATGGCTCCCACCTGCCCTTGGGTTAATGCCTATGCTCTCATGGCCCAGCTGGTGGGGCTTATAGTGACCCAGCTCTGACCTCATCTCCCAGGAAGACCTGAGGCAGTGGCTAAGGTCCCAGCTGGATGTACCCGCACACCGCAACCCCCGGGTCACCTCCAGGCTGTGTTCCCTCCTCTCACGCCGCAGTAGCAACAGCTCCTCGTGGGTTGCCTGTAGCCTGCCCTGACCCTTCTCCACTTCCTCACGCAGGCCTCGGATCTGGGCTTCCAGGTCCTGCCGTCGGCTCTGCAGCATCTGGTTCTGGCAAAAGGCCTCAGAGTTAGAGGGGAGGTGCTAGACCAGTTCTAGATAGCCTGCAGCCTTCCTGGCGCAACAGGCCCCCAGCCCTAGCTGGCACTCACTTCACCCTGCAGACTCTCCAGCCGTGTTCTCAGCTCTGCTCCAGCCAGGGCCTGAGTCTGGCACTGCCCCCGAAGGGCATCCAGTTCCTTCTGAAGTCCCTGCTCAGTCTGGGAGGCCTAGGGAGAGGGGAAGAAATGGAGATGTCAGCTGGCCCAAGCTTTAGCACCAAACCCTGGGCACCCCCACATCTGGACCCTGGAGTCTGCCCCCAACCCTGACCTGAGCTCAGGGCTGTCCTACCTGGGCCAGTTGCTGGCTGAGCCGAAGGTTCTGCTCGCTGAGTTCACTGAGGGCTCGTGCCCGCTCGCGCCCACTGTCCTGCTGCTCTGAGCGCTGCTCTCCTAGCTGGGCCCTCAGGGCCTCCACGTCCCCTTCCAGCTCCACAGCCCTGGCCTCCCATTCGGCTCCCCGTGCTGCCAGGCCCCGGCGGAGCTCATGGTTCTCCTGCTGTAGCTGCTGTAGGGATACAGGGTCAGAAACAGAGAGGGAAAGATGAGACTGGAATAGATGCTGAGGGACTAAGATGGAGAGACAGAAACCCAAAGAGAGTCTGAGGGGTTCTGAGACAGGCATGAAAGCAAGAGACAGTAAGGGAAGAAGCAGACAGAGAGAGTGAAATGCAAAGACTCAGAGAGAAGGAGGGGGGAGCAGTAGAGAGAAATTTCCAGGCCAGAAAGGAGGGGCTGACCCTAGGCTGTGGGGTGGGGCTTGCTGATGCCCACTCACCTCTGGCTGCTGCCTGGGCTTCTGGACCCGAGGTCGCAGGCGCCGTTTTTGGCGCCTGAGTCTGGCAGAATTTAAGCCCCTACCCATGGCCTCACACACCTGTGTCCCAGGGGCTCTAGAGATTTAGCTTCTGCCCAGCCTCTGCTCAGCCCCTCTCCCCTAGCTCCTCCTGGCCAGCTCCCTCTAATTAACCCTGGCCAGCCCCACCCAGGCCCCATGGCTCTGCCTGCCCTCCCTAAAACCTGTCCAACTAGCAGGGGGAGGCACCTGACAAACCCAGATGCCCAGCTTAGGGAGGCAGGCAAGTCGGAGGGCCAGCCTCTGGCCCCAACTCTCTTTAGACTCTCAAAGCTGGAAGGCGATGCTCAACATAGCTGCTACAGTTAATAGCAGTACTGCCAGGTCCTGTGCTAGTGCTTTACCTGTACTATTTCATTTAATTCACTAGCATTAGAATCATTAACATCTTCATTTTACAGAGGAAACTGGGGCTCAGAGAGGTGAAATGCCTTGCCCAAGGAAACAGTGAGTTAGTGGAGCAGAGATCCCACCCAGGCAGCCAAGCTCTTAATCAAATTTGTGGGGGGTGGGGCAGGGTGGGGTGGGGTGGACACAGCTCTGAGAATAAGTCCACAGGATTGGGTTACAATTGTCCTGGCTGGTGCCCAGCCCTGTTGCTGCTTTGTGTTCAGGCAAGTTCTTTAATATATCTATGTTTCATCCATCCATCCATCCAGCCAGCCATCCATCCAGCCATTCATCCATCCAATCATGCAATATTTCCTGAGTTCCTTCTGTTCTGGGGTCTGACTGTCAGCAGTAAGCAAGACCACCAAGTTCTCTGCCTCAAACAGCTTAGCTACCAAAGAGTTTGAGGCAAATGGATACATGCTTGAACTAGGTCGTTTCGGAGGGACAGTAAGGGCTATAAGGAAATCCTGGGAAGTGATGAAGAGGAGCAGGGTGGAGTGGGGGCTCCTTCAAGAAAAGTGATGTCTGAACTGACTCCTGCAGGGCAATAAGGAAGAGGGCTACATACAAGGAACAGCAAGTGCAAAGGCCCTGAGGGAACAAGCTGGGGTTACTCAAGGAACTGAAAAGAGGCCCTGCTGGAGGAGGCGTGGTACGCTGAGCTGAGGTCAGGGAGGCCGCCATGGAGACTTTTAGGACCTGATGAGGAGTTTCAGTTTCATTCTAAGTGTGATGAGGAGCCATTGGGAGGTTCTGAGCAAGGACTGAAATGATCTGATTTACAATTTTTGAAGATCCCTCTGGCTGCCCCGTAGAGAATGGGCTTCAGAGAGCAAGAGTAAAAGCTAAGGACCAGTGAGGAGGTGGCTGCAGTGTCTGGGGCAGAGGTGATGGAGGCTGAGACAGCTTGGAGGCTGCGGGGATGGTAAGAAGTGAGTAGACTCAGAATCTGGTTTAGAAGAATCAACAAGGCTTGCACATGTGAAAGAAGAGGTCATAGAGATGCTCAGGATCTGCTGCCGCCATGGAAAGGTGGGATGGGGACAGTGGGTGATGGGTCGTAATTGAGTGCCACTTATGTTGAGATACCCATTAGATGGTTTGGTGGAGAGGTGTGGGGCAGTAAGCTACCCATGTTGGGATTGGGGCAGCAGTTGGGGCTGATGACATGGATTCACTATTGTCAGTGGAGTCCAGAGTATTTAGGGGCCAGATATGACCTCAGGATTACAGTGAGGCTGACAACAGAAACTGGGTAGAGGAAGAACTGTTCCTACCTCACAGGGTTGGGTGAGAATTGACTGAGATGATGCATGGAAAGTGCTTAGCTCAGAGCCAGGTGGGGAAGAGGTGCTCAGTAACTGTTGGAGTTGCACTATACCGCTTAGGAGCCGGATCCAAGATTCAGAGAGCACAAGCAGCTTACCCAGTGTCACACAGTCAGGCAGAGTCTAAACTCAGGTTTTGATTTATCCTCAGAGTCTGTGTTCTTAACCACTGGACAACACTGCCAGGGAGAATGGGCCCAGCCCTGAACCATTCCAGAAGCATCCCCTACCTGGTTTTCCTCCTCCTGCCTACCTGTCCTCCCCCTGCCCACCCCTGCCCCTGCCTGCAACCCCTGCCACAAGCTCACTTCCTCACGCTCAGAGTGCTGGGTGCTCAGCATCTCCAGCTGCCTCTGCAGCTCCTCATTTCGCTCCAGAAGCATCTTGCCAAGCTCCGCGGCCAACAGCAGGTCCTTCTCCTTCTGTTGCAGCTGCAGGGCCAGGTCCTCAGGCTCCTCAGGCCCTGGGCCACCTCCCAGAAATGAGTCCCGCCGCTCCAGCACGAAGGGGAAGAAACCCTCATCACCACTGGGGGAGGCGCCCCCCGAGAGCAGCCCCGACGGGAAGCTTGGCCCTTCTGGGGAGCTCATGGTGCCTGCAGCATCTGTGAGGACAGGTAGGTCTGTGAGGACAGGTAGCTGCAGGACACTGTACTCTGCAGCCGGAGTTCACTCCTAGCTGGCCAAGACTTGGCCCACCCTTAATTCTTCACCTGCCCACTGGCCCTCCCAGTCCTGAAGCCAAGACCACAAAGGGTTAATGATCTATGTTTTGACCACACAACTCTGTTAATGTCCCCAGGGTAAATTAAGGCAGGGAGAAGTAGGAAATGGGCTATCCTGCCTTCTGTCTCTGGCAGACATTCTCTGCTCCCAGAAAACCTGTCCCTGTACTCTGCAGGCCATCCTGATGACAGTCCCTGCTTTCTTTTTTCCAGACTCTCACCAGCTGAGAAACTTCCCAGAACCCAGGTTCTTAGGGACTCAAGACTCAGGGACAAGCTAGACCCTTCTCCTTCTAAAACCAGGGCCTTGAGAACTTAGATGTCCTGACCCTCAAGACTCAGTTCCAAAACCAGGGCCTTGGGAACTTAGATGTCCTGACCTCTTAGTCCCCAGCAATCCAGCCCCCTCCTCTTCCAGAAGCCCAGGTCCACAGCTCCTCAGGACTCAGATGCCCTGCCAGATATCCTGGCCTTGTTCTCCTAGTTTCTCAGGAACCAGGTATATTGGTCCCCACCCTTCAGAACTCAAGTTCTGGGACCCTACCCTGAGCCTTCCCCTTCTGGAGTGTTGGCTCCGTCCTCCAGTTTCCAAGGGCCCAAATGTCGGGCCGGCCCAGGGCAGGGCGAGGTAACAGGTTGTGCCAGCAACTGCTGCCTCGCCGATCCAGGTTCCTGTTTACTCACCAGCCGGCCCCTGGGGATGGGAGCCTGGTGGCACTTCCCTAGGGCCTCCTAGAGCCTGGCAATTCAGGGGCTCCAGAGGGAGGGGATACATGGGGCTTCCCCGGCACACTCCACTGCAGTCCTCTGGGGTCCCCCCATGCACGCTCGCATGCACGTGCACACACTCACATACCCCTGTTCCTTTCCTCCCCTCACCAGGTGTCTAAGCCCAGCCCTACCTGCAGGACCCAGATGTCACAAGAGTTCCAGCTCAGCTGCCCTCAGACCCACCTGGGGGGTTTCTTTGACGTGGCCCCTGAGGGCCCGACCCTGCTCTGGAAACCAGAGGGCGACCCTCCTTCTCCCCCTCCCCACACGGAGCTGCTATTTAGCACCGCAACCCAGGCGTCATAACCCTCAATTCTAGGCGTCTGAAGCCCAGCCACCGCTTTCCTTCCTGCCGGCCTCCCCTGCTTCCCCGCCCCAGGAATCAGTCCCGGTGCCCCTGCTACCCAGCCAACCGTGCCAACTCGCCCGGCCTCTGTCCTGCCCGAAGCCCGTCAGGAGTCTGTTCTCCGCGCCCCCTAGGCTCTCACCCGACGACGCCGGGCTCTCTTGGACATCCCCGCAGTCCCGGATCCCCTCTTCCGGAGGCGGCGTCAGGTGCACTGCCCGCACAGGTAAGGGGGCGGTGCCGCAGACGCGGCTGGGGCGCTCCCTGGTGGCCGAAATGGCCGGGCGGAGCCCAAGGAAAGTCACCTCAACCCAGATCAGAGGCACTGACCTATCTTGCTGCCATTAATGGAGCGCCTATTGTGTGCAGACACCACGGGAAGCATCTACGTCAGCTCCTTTCCCCTCACAACTGTCTTGTGGGATAGAAAATTATTATTTTTTATTTATACATGTTTATTTTTCAATTAAAGTTGACATACAATATTATATTAGTTTCAGGTGTACAACATAGTGATTAGGCATTTATATATACCTTACAAAGTGTTCACCCCAATAACTAGTATCCATCTGGCACCATTCAGAGTAGTTACAGTATTATTGACTATATTTCCTATGCTGTACTTTACATGCCCGTGACTATTTTTTTTTCTTTAAATATTTCTTTGTGATAGAGGACACCTACTCAATTAGAGGTCTTTAAAAAAAAAAAAAACTATCATGCCATTAATTCATAAGGCATGGGCTCCAGCAGCTCAGTCTCCTTTCCATTCATTCTCACAAAGTATGCTGCTCTGAGTGGGGTAGGCTGGTGCTTCAGTTGAACTCAGGTAACTTTTTCTTTGGCTTCCTTCTTTTTTTTGATCATTTTCCTTCACACGTTTCAGGAAACTATCTCGAACACTTAGAGTGTTTAATATGCTCAATACGTCCATTAATTCTCTTGGCAAGAATCTTGACTTTATCTTGTTTGTTTACAACACTGCCAACCACATGCTGGGTAACGCTGTAAACATGTCCAGTTTTGCCGTGGTAGCATTTGTGGGGTGTTCCCTTTTGAACAGTGCCCATTCCCTTGATGTTTACAATATTACCTTTCTTGTAGATTCGCATATGTGTGGCCAAAAGAACAACTCCATATTTTCTAAAAGGCCTAGAGAACATATAGTGGGTACCTCTCCAGATACCATATGTAGTTATAAAACTATCGATCGTATTCCCTGTGCTGTACTTTGGATCCCTGTGACTATTTTTGTAACTGGCAATTTGTACTTCTTAATCTCTTTCACCTTTTTCACCCATCCTCCAACCAACCCCCACCCCCACCCCTGTTGCAGCCATCAGTTTGTTCTCTGTAGCTATGAGTCTGTTTCTTTTTGTTTGTTTATTTATTTATTTATTTAATTTCATTTAGCATAATACCCTCTAGGTTCATCTGTTGTGACAAATGGCATGATCTCATTTTTTATGGCTGAGTAACATTCCATTGTATATGTACTACATCTTTATTCAATCGTCTATTGATGAACACCTATATTGCTTCTATATCTTGGCTATTGTAAGTAGCACTGCAGTGAACATAGGGGTGCATATATCTTTTCAAATTAGTGTTTGGGATTTCTTCGATTAAATACCCAGAAGTGGAATTTCTGGGTTATATGGTAGTTTTATTTGTAATTTTTTGAGGAACCACCATACTGTTTTCCATAGTGGCTGCACCGATTTGCAGTCCCACCAACAGTGCATGAGGTTCCCTTTTCTCCTCATCCTTGCCAACACTTATTTGTAGATTTATTGATGATAGCTATTCTGACAGGTGTGAGGTGATATTGTGGTTTAGGAAATTATTAGCAATGGATAGGAAATTATTAGCAATGATAATAACATGTTAAGCACTCTGCTAATTCGGCTCTTTTACAGTCATAAATTGTTTACTTTCATGACATCCTAATGAAACAGGAACTACTATTATCCCCATCTTACAGAAGCTGAGGCTCAGGGAGGACCTAACTTGCTTGAATTCACATGGGCAGAACTTAAATGTGATCTGCAGAAGTGTGACTTTAGGGTATGTGCTCTTCTACTGATTCCCATGCTGCAGGCAAGGACAGCTAAAGTGACTTGTCAGTGTGGCTCCCAGCTTGGGCCTCTTAGTTCCCAGGCTGCCCAGAGCTGGGCACTGTGCTCCAGTCTGGGACAGAGGCCTTGGAATGGAGACCAGAGGATTCAGGACTGCGTTCCTGGGTCCAGCCCTATGCAGCCTAGGCATACAGGTGATGCCCCAGCCATGGCCTTGTGGCTTGTCATGATTCTCCTCAGACTTCCAGGGCTCCTTGAGTCCCTGTGACAGGGGCTCCTGGCCTGGTGAGCAGGGACAAATGGAGGGCTAGGAGCAGTGTCGTGCTGGTAACTATTTAACAACAGCCTGTCTAGGGGAGAAGAAAGCCTGGGTTTGTTGCATTTGTCAATTTCTGTGGTATAAATACTGCTTCCATGGCTGATTTCAAGCTACCAACACAACATTATTGAATATGGGTGGAGATGTGCATAACCAGCTTTGCCAGCCAGTACCGGTGGTTCCCAAATCCCTTTGGCCAGGACGCGTGAGTCATGGGGAAGTACGGGCCTCTTTGACTGGGTCCTAGAAAAATAAGAGGAAGATGGGAGCTAGGACTCTTGACTGTGGACTCCTTGGAGGGGATTGGGACTCCAGGGTCCTGGGGCTGGGACAAGGTTTCCTGCCAGTCCAGAGTAGAGGGGTCGATTTCTTTGCAAAGGTGTCTGAGGGCTGCATTGCCTAGCAAGTCCTCCATAATCTCCCACACACCTGTGGGAACAGCCTGGTGGACTTTGCAGGGCTGGAGACACCCTAGCCTCCACTCGCTGCTGCCATCTGACCCCCTCCGAATGCTAGGGTCACCCTGGGCCCCACCCCCACCTACCCCCACTCAACACACCTTTCCTGAGCCCCTCTCCTGCCAGTCAGGGGCTGGGCTCACCTAAAGATAAAGTAGTCAGGGCCTGGCTCCCAAGAGACTCACCCAAGAACTAGGAGGGGTTTCAATTCATAAACCAGAAATGAACCAATAAAACAGTACAATAAAGCAGTACAATAAAGCAGTACAGCAAAGGAATTTGGCTCATGGGCGCTGTATCACACGGCTTCGGTCCAGATTCCAGTTTGGCCACTTAGCGTGCACACCTGTGTCATTCAGCTGATTAACCTCTGCAGCCCTCAGTTTCCCCATCTGTAAAATGGGGATGATAGCTCCTAGCTCATAGGGTTGTGAGGATTAAATGAGGATGAAGTGCCAGCACTTAAGTTGATGCTAGTGATCCTCAGTCTGGTCACAATAGGTGACTAACCATGCGTGTTACAATGTTTTTCATTTTCATAGCAACCTGATGAAGTCATATTCTTCAAACAGTGAACCAGCTCAGGGAGGCAAAGTGGTTGGCCTATGCCTACATGGCAGACCCTTGCTTGGCTCCCAGCCCCAGTTACTCTTCAGATATTTGGATCTGGCCTCCGGCCTTCTCCGAACCCAGGAGTTCTGGCCTCCAGTTGCCCTTCTGGACCTGAGCCTTGGCCTTCCAGCCTCTCCCTGCCCCCAGCTGCCTCCCTGCTGATTTCAGGAAGAAGATGGATGGGAGCAACAGAGTGGCCCCAGAGGAGCCCTAGGGAGGCTGGAGTATGTCCAGATATAAGAGATATTGTCAACCCAGCCATCATATGCTCTCCAGCTGGCACCCAGACAA